CTGATGATACGACTCATACGCGTTTACTTCTGATAATACGACCCATACGCGTTTACTTCTGATGATACGACCCATACACATATACTTCTGATGATACGACCCATACACGTTTACTTCTGATGATACGACCCGTACGCGTTTACTTCTGATGATACGGCTCAAACGTGTTTACTTCTGATGGTACGACTCATACGCGTTTACTTTTCACTATACGACTCATACGTGTTTACTTCTCATTATACGACTCATACGCGTTTACTTCGCATGATACGACTCATACGCGTTTACTTCTTATGATACGACTCATACGCGTTTACTTCTCATGATACGATTCATACGCGTTTACTTTTCAAAAAACGATCACCAGATATCTCATACGCGTTTACTTTTCATTATACGATTACCTGAGATCTCATACGCGTTTACTTCTCACTATACGATCACCTGAGATCTCATACGCGTTTACTTCTCATGATACGATCACCTGAGATCTCATACGCGTTTACTTCTCACTATACGATCACCTGAGATCTCATACGCGTTTACTTCTCACGATACGATCCCCTGAGATCCGAGTGTTCTCACACGCCAACGTTAAAACCTGGGCGCAGGTATCAGGCGAATGAATATGATCATCATTATAAACACTACTGAGACATTGAGCAACGCTATCCAGATCCAACAACTCGCATACACTTCCATGTGTTTCTGTAGCCGTTGCCCCTCGATAGCCAATTTGGACTGGTTTCTATCGGCGATTGATTCCACCTGGAATGAGCAATAATTGGTGTCAGCAAACACTGCAGATCAGCCGATTTCATGAATTTTGGGTATCAGCAAGTAATATATATCAACCAATTTTCATAAGATTTGTGCTATAGCCAATTTTCATAAGATTTGTGATTGAGCCAATTTTCCGATGCAAAATTGATGCGGCTATGGTGGAAGGGTGAACGTTTAACAGAGGTGTACTGATGGTAGTGCTAATGTATGAGTGCATAACTGCCTGAGAACACCCGAGCACAAAACACACAGCCCATAAATGGTCAACAGGGGGGTTTATACCCTAAAACCCTAGCATATGCAGATCGGTGTTGTTACTTCCACCCGTGTCCCGTTATATATCTTTCCCTAGCCTCGTGCCCGCCGGAATAGTAGATCAATCGGTACAGTCATACTACTCAAATAACAACACACTACCAACAAATAAGAAATCATGGTCATATTGAATGGATAGATATTCTCTCTAAAACATTCGACACAAAGATACTGGCACACAACTCTATATCCTCTCTGACCATTGAGCACACTATATATAACCCAAGACACCTCAGCTACACCCACAACTAAGGCGTAGTACGCTACCTCATCCAGCGTCTCTATATCCTCTCTGACCATTGAGCCAGCCAGCAGCGTTGTGTCCTTAAGTGCGCGTGCCATCTCCACTAGTTCGTCTGTGATGGCTGCTTGTACTTGTCGCTCTCTCAGCAGCTGCTTCTCCTCATCCGCGTCATCGTCACTGGCGCCTGCGTCGGCGAGCTTTGAACTGGCGCTGCTTAAAGAAGGCTTCTCTCCCGTGTGTGTAGTGCTGAGACTGGTTGGGTCGTGGCTGAAGCTGTGTGTGCGACGTGTAGATGATGGCGGGTGAAAAGTTGGTATGTATAGGGGGAGAGACGGCTAAGTGAGCTCTGGCAGACTCTTGTTCGCACTGGGCGTGGTATATATATAAATATATATAAATATATATTTATATATATAAATATATATTTATATATATAAATATATAAATATATAAATATATATATATATATATATATATATATAACCCTAAACCCTACTGTCATACCTTACGTTCGGGGTAGGGGATTTCAGCAGATCCGAGCGCAACTCAGACATCACATTGTGCTTGGACCGTCGGCGGTGGTATTGCTCTCTCTCATTCTCTGTGCGGAGTGGTAGGTGGGAAAC